ACAGGCCGCGCCAGGTCGCGCCAGGCCAGCCAGACCGGTGCCCGAGGGGGGGGACCAACTTGGTAAGTTGTTGCCTGGGGGCTTGCCTAGTTGTCACAAGGTGCCACATGTCGCAATTTCACTGGAGGGCCAAATCTGCCCTCATCAGATCACATCTCTCCATGAGGAATGAACTTAGAAAGGAAACTCCCATAAAATTGAATCTTATCCACCCGCAGTTTTACTTTACTTTTTGCTTGAGGAGAAATAGCCAAGAGAACCCCAACCCATGGCAATACAAACTTAAAAATTCGAAGCTGCATTAGGGATAAAGTATTGTTATATGAAGTTTCATGTGCAACGCACATAAATATTTACTAGTAATAATAATAAAGATACCACATTGGAAGACATGCATCCTATCACCTCTTGGTTTTTAGACCTAACACCTAACTTCTTATACCCTAAACTTTAAACCTTTAAGCCCTAAGCTCTAAGTTCTTATCCTAAATCTTAAACCTTAAAGTCTAAACTTTAGAACTTTAAACCCTAAATCTAAACTCTAAATCTTAACCCTCACCCTAAATCTTAAATCCTAAAATTTTAAAATCTAAACTTTAAAACCTTAAGCCCTAAATGTAAACTCTAAACTTTAAACCTTTAAGTCTTAAGCCTTATACCCCTAAGCCCTAAGATCAGTGATGGAACGCATGTCGCCAAAGATCGTAGGAGCCAAGTATTTTCCAAGAAAAAAACAAGACACCAAACTACATTGCCAGCTGACAGCCTGAGGTAAAATTTGTCGGCGGCTTAGACCAGAGGTCGTTATGGGTCCATTAAGTCAATATCTAAGACCCGACTTGGCTCAGAAAATAAAAAATAAATGTACCCAAGCCCAGCGGTTTCTAAAACATGAAAAAGCTCTCTATACCCTTATTTCCTCTCTTCCCAGAGTTGAGCTTCCTGTGACGGACATACGGAGAGATAAGAAAAGATGGTCAAGTCGGAGCTTCCAGCTTCGTTAGCGCTCACCATCGGACTTGCTTGTATTCACGCCCTCTGTCTCATCGTAAAGTCTCAGGATCAACCTAAAACTGATCCGATTGAAGGTACCCTTCCAAGCGCTCTCTCTCTCTCTCTCTGTTTTTGTCTGTGCGCGTGATGCAGCTTTTGCCCCTGTCAAAGTAAAGGGAGTAGGCTGCAATGGTATTCGTGTAATTAGGGGTGATTCGAAATTTCGAATTTGATCAATTTGTAAATTAAAGCCAAAAGGGAAAAAGTGAAATAACTGAAATACAACCCTCCTCTAGAAAAACATTTCAGAAAATCAGGGTTCAGGGATACAACTCCAACTCACCTTTTCTTAGTAGTTGTTATTTATTATAACAGCCTGTCGAGCAAGGAACTTAGTATTCACAAATGTGAGTTCTGAAATGTTTTGGTCCAATCCGATCCAATCCGGTCCAATGTGAGTTCATTATAAATGGATCAGGACTAATTCAATCTAATGAATGTTTTGGATTAATTTGGACTGGTCCAATTTAATGTCTGGACTGTCCAATCTGTTCAAATTCATTTTGATTTAGATTGGTTTCAATGTAAACCCAGTTCATTGATACATATATTCTTATCTTATATCAATAGACCAGATATTGGTCCAATCCAACCCAATCCAATATAAATTTATTATGGACGGACCAAGTTCAATCCAATCTAATAAATATTTTGGACCGAATTAGTCCAATCCAATGTCTTGTTGGTCTCAATCCAAAACCGGCCCATTGACACCCTTATTCACGAATATCCGGCAGAAAAGCCAATACTTAACATTCGGATGCAGAACTTAGGACAGGAGAACTCGTGCCGAACATTAACCTTCCTTCATCACAGACAATTATACCATCAGAAATATTCGACCCAACAGTTCCATCCACATTAATTTTAACCCATCCTTAAGCCAACCGTATCACTGCTTCACCATTAAATTTCAAACAACTCCATAGCTAGCGTATACATTGAAACCAAATGCTTTTTGCCACTGGACAATAAAAAAGAACATGTTCCAATTCCACCTCATAATCACAATAAGGACAGCTCGTCAAGATTAATTGGATCTTTTCTACAATAGCTTCTCTAGGAGGCAACACACCCACCCATGGTTTTCAAAACCGGATCGGACTGGACGGTTGGACCGAAAAAACCAGGAACTGGTCACCTCCGTTTCCCCCAAAACCGGCTTCATTTGAATGATTTTGACTGTTTTTTATTTATTTTTTTTATTTTTTTTATCAGAATGGGCTGACCTTTCGGTTTGAACGGTCGGACCGTTCGACCCGGTAACCGGACCCTGACCAGTTCGGTGTCTGGGTCAGTTTTAAAAACCATGCACCCACCAAACTTCCCCAAATAAAAACTTAAGCATTGGGAGGTAGATGCCTAAACTTCCAAAGAAGCTAGATAACTCTGTAACTACTTGACTCACCTTTACAAGCCTAAGCCAAGGCCCTCAAGTATTGGTGGTGTTTTTAGGGATGAGAAAGGAAAGTTTATAGCATTATTCTCAGGCCCAATTGGAGAAGGTGACTCTCTAAGAGCTGAACTAATGACAGTACTAAAAGGGGTTAAAGGGGCAAAGGAGATGAATATTCGTAAATTAATCTTAGAAGGTGACTCCAAATTAGTGGTGGTATGATTCAAAATGTTCAAGTGGTTAACATAGGATATTGAAGTTAAAAGTGGTATGGATCAAAAGAAATGCCACCTCCATAGCTGAGGGGCAAGCAAAGCAAGGGGTGAATAGGGATGTAATATTTTGGAGTGCCAATTTTTGTATTATGGTACAACTTTTCTGGGAGAGTTAAGAGAGTTACCTCTCCCTGTTCTGTTCGATTTAATTTTTGGAAAAATTCCACTTTATTATTTTGAATGGAGTAATGTCAAGTTAGTACCCAAACTTTCAAACATGTCACAACAGTACACAAACTTTCAAAAAGTTTCAAGTTGGTTCTTACCATTAACAGTCTATCAGTTATCTTATCACGTGATGATATATATAACTTAAAATTTTTCAAAATGTAAAAGCTACCCTTGAAAACAAAACACTGCTCATTGTCTTCAGCATTAAGATTGAACCATAATAACACTGAGTCATAATTGGATTGACTTGACGAGAGAACAGAAGACGTGAATTGATGAATTCAAACCCATAGTGCACATATGGTCGGACCCATCAACACTTGACCCCCAAATACGTCCTTATTGAAGCAAACCAGAGCAGCCATATCTTTGCATGTTCTGTTTTTGTCTTTTTTTTTCACCTTCATAAAGAAATCTACATCCGAGTCCGATTTAATTGATTTTTTTGGGGTGATGAGAAAATGAAAGTGCTTTTTGGGTGATAGGGAAAATAGATAAAGCCTGGTAACAAGCAAATTGCAGAATTAAATAGAGCAGCTTTAGTCTCGGCTTCTCTATCATTCCATTGCGCATGCCTTTGGCTTTGAATTTTGCTGTCTAATTTTTATTTATTTATTTTTCTGTAGAAAAATAGAAAGAAAAAGGAAATTTTCTGGATTTGAAAGTAGAGAGTAATAAGAAAGAAGCGTAAAAGAATAAAAGAAATAGAAGATGCTCTCCCTTATCCTCAAATTCGGAGGTGCCACTGGCAACAATGATGCAAGACCCAAAATTGCTGAAATGGAGGGGGTGGTTAGAGATCCGATAAGAATCAGAAGAAAATTAGATGATAGGTGAAGGGCATTTTTGCGCTTTTATATGATACTTGAACGCCAATTAACATTTTTTGAAAGTTTGAATACTACAGTGACACATTTAAAAGTTTGAATACTAAGTTGACACTACCCCAAAATTCATATACTAAAGAAGTGAAATTTTCCCTTAACTTTTAACAAAGCTAAGTAATATGTTATTGATAAAAAAATAAATCAAGAAAAATTTATATACCCACTTGGATGAAAAGGAACCTTTCTAAGTGCGGTAACCAAACTAACTTATCCTCCAGATTAAGTATTTTAGTTGAATGTCCATATAGTCTTTGCCATCACTTCATCAAATGTCTCTTGAATTTTGGTTGTTAACCACCGTCCCGAATCACTGACAGGAGATTTTTTTACCCATATTCATAATTTCAGCAGACCTAAATCCAAAGATACTCGGGGTCAGGGTGTCATTCCTAATTTGAATGTTTCTTCCATTTCCCATCAATCTGAACCATACCCAAGTGACCTGCTAATGATTGCCTAATTAAGCCTTCTATGAACATTGACACTAAAGTGAATAGAAGGCTTCACAAAATTAACTTGCTGTCATGTCTATGAACAAAACTAGTTATTTGCATTCTTGATGGCATCAACATCCTTTATAGTCGCCTAACCCATGATAATATCACCTGCAAACATTATATGGCTTTTAGAGCTGGAGCATCCCTAGCAATACTTAGGCCTTTCGTGTTTCCTTTCTCTTGTTCCAGTCTAAAAATCCTTGGAAGGAGTTAAGGACAATGAATAGGTATAGCGATAATGGGCAACCTTGTTGCAAACCCCTCATAGGAGAAAATGCAGAAAGAGGTCTTCCATTATGCAAGACCTAAAGAAAGTTGCAATGCACTGCCGGATCAGCTCCAATGCCTCAGAAGAAGAAGCTCCCATTCAATCTTACCATAAGCTTTTGTTAGGTCAATTTTACTCAACATAGACCCCATCCTACCTCCTTTTTAGCTCATCAGATGTCTTTCACTACCTATATAGGTTGCCTCCTAGCCAAGAAGGCATTTTGAAACACACAAAACAATCTTATGAAGGACACCAATCACCCTAGCTGCCAAAAACTCCACAATAGCCTTGTAGAATACATTGCAATGGCCAATTGGCCTAAAATCACTTAGTGTTTCTGGGTTATCTTTTTGGGGATAAGAACAAGATGAGAATGATTTACATCCTAGGCAGCTTCCTAGTTATAAAGGAATTTCTGATGAAGTGGCAGAGGCCAGGATTAGTGATTCTCCAGGTAGATTCATAAAAACAAAGCAGGGATACTATCATCACAGCTTTGATTGGTTGCCTGGCCCATTAGGTTCAATGCACATGGCACATCGGTGTGCTCACTTGTGATTGGTTACATATACATGTTTATGCTTACAGTAGATCCAGAGTCACAAGAACCAGTCAGATACCACCGAGTCACTGACCTTGATGCTCAAAAGATAACCCAATTGGAAATGTCACAAGGCTCCTTTTGCTTCAATTTCTCCCAGCGAAAGCACTACTTTGATTGCTATTTTGCTTCAATTTTAATTTCCTCATCATCATATTGGATAGCAGCTTTTCTCATGCATCACATGGGACCCTAGTAGTATTTAATATATAATCAAGATTGGGGCGGGGCGGGGAATTCACTCCCATCCCCAACTTTGTCCTTGTTAAGGCAATCTCTATCCCCTACAAGGCTGGGAGCCAATTACCCAATGGGGATGAGGAAAATTCGCCATCCCTATTTTCAACTTTCAAACCTTTTGCATTAGTTACACACAAGTGTAGACCCCACCCATCTGATTGTCTAGCCACGTTGGTTTAAGAATCTTGAAGATCAAACTAATGGAACTTATCTCTTAGCAGCAACTCCGAACCCTTAATTGGACCAGGCGCTAAAAAAAAAAAAAAACATTCTTCATTTTTTAAACTGAACATTCAAACTCTCCAATCACTTCTAATTCTCCCCGTCCCTCTCTCATCTAAACCTTAGGGGTCAAACTACCAGTGACCAATGGTGGTATCTTCTCTTCTTCATCTCAAATTTGCTTACTGTTCTTTGAACTCAAAACCCAGAAAATCTTTCCAAACAATGAGAGAGAAACCAAATAGGCATCTATAATAGGTGATATCATTGTTTTGAAAATTAGATTGGACGGCCATCTAACCTCCGGGTCCAATTTTGGAGAAAAAACGTTGAATTGGTCAGAGAACTGATGACCTAGGTGGTCAAACCATTAAACCATTTAACCCAGGTAGCAATTCACGGTTTAGTGAAAACTATTTAATATTTAAAGGAGATAAAAATAAAAGAATGGATCGAAAGATGGGGGAGTGACTGAGGCGAGATCTCAGACCTGATGTGTGAGAGAGAGAGATCTGAAAGGGTTGGGAGAGAAACATTGTCACTGCAGTCTATCACTGCCGTCACCATTGTCATTGCCACGACCACTACTGTCATCATCGCCAGTGAACATCACCTCTTCTCCCTTCTCCTTTCTTTTTTTCCTTTCCTTTCTTAGTCAGCAACCACTTTGCTAATTCCATTTAGCGATTTTTAAAGCAAACCTAATTTCGAATGAACACTTATTTTGGGTTGGGACCACACCAATAATCACTTGTGGGAATTATTTCAAGAAGCCCAAAATTTTCTTTATTCTTTTTTTTTTGTTCTTTTTACTGCTACAAGAAGTCCAAATGTTGAGCTTAATTATTTTAAAATGCTTTTTCAATAAGTGTTTATTTCCTTTTTGACCCATTGTAGCCTGCCACGTTATTTTGAAAATACCTGTAGTACTCTTGTTTGAAATAAGTGCTTTTCACCAAACACTTAGAAGTGTTTGTTAGTATATACACTTATTTTTAAGTACTTATTCAACCTATATCTATATTTATATCTACATATTAATCGGAATGATCCTAGTTAGGAGCATTCTGCTTTGTTGTTTTTTTGGGTTTTTTTTGTAGTTTTTCTTGAATGTTTTATCCAATCACCTTTCGGACTTTTATCCAACTTCATTAACTCACCACACACACCCTATCTCTCTCTTTCTCTAAACTTCATTAACTCTATCTATATCTATATCCTTTTCATTTTTTGGCATTTCAATGCAACACATTAATTACTCTCGAAGTAGGTGGTAATTGGTAGACTCAAATCCACATCTCTGTAGGGATTACCCAGCTAATATACCAACTTAGCCACCACTCAGTTGGTGTATCCATTTCAATTTAACTATGAGCTTATATACATTAGATATATTTGTATTAAACTATATTAAACTATAAATAGGGTATAATTTAAAAGTTAAACTCTATTAAATCACAATTAATATAACAATTATTTACTTCATAACAAAAATTAAGTTCTATTTAATTATAATTTATAACCCATTTAAAAGTTGGTTAATTTTAGAGTTAATATTTCAACCACCTAGGTTGAATGGGTTATGACCAAGTCAATGGTTCTTGATGAAATAATGGGTTATTCCAAACCTATAATTAGAAATAGGGTTAGGTGATGGTTTGAACAGTTCAATTGTCTAGGTCAATGATAGGTTGAAAATGTTAAATAAAACATCGTAAAACTTATAAGATATTTTCTATTCCATTTTAAAACAATAAAAAATAATTAACCATGGCAATAATAATTTAGTAAATTATTTGAATAAAAATAACTAGTGATTATTATTAATGATACAATTATTTATTAATATAATAAATATAAATTAATTAATTAAAAGTAATAAAAGAAATAAATAATTCATATTTATTTAAAATTAATACAAAATTATCTAACAATTATTATTTTTATAGTTAACTTTTTTAATTATTTAACAATCCTATAAACCTCCCCTATGTTTTCACCTTAACAAAAATGTCCCCTATTATTTAAAAAAAAATGTGCAAATACCTTCCAAATAGAAAACACTAATGTAATTAATGCACTATTTTTTTAATATCAAATTTACCCTTAACCAACTTAATTCAGATGTAAGTTTACTATAATACATTGAAAAGAAAATATTTGCTTCCTTTTACTTTCAATTCAACCTTTTTACCTTTCTTAATTTGTCTAGAAAAAGAGAGAATTACTGAAAAGTTGTTAGACAAAATAAATTAACAATGATACCTTACCAATGATAAATTTATTCCACTTTTGTACTTTTGTGGTTTGTTTGATTGTCGTGTGGTTTGTAATTTTTCATCCAACCATCCGTGAATAGACACCAACTCTGTCCATTTTCTATTTTCCAATATGAACCTTTCTTGAGTTTGTCCCTTTGCTCACAGATGCCTCTTTAGGCCCAAGAAGCTTTTTTTTTTTTTTTTAATTGGGATTTGAAGAAACCTATCATTTCCTTAATTAATTTAATTTACTTATTTAATTGCGTAATTTACTTAATTATTTTAATTAATATAATGTATTTAATTTACTTAATTAATTTTATTAAAATGAATCATTTTCAAACTTTAATAGTGCTACATAACCATGCTTTTATATTTTATTCATTGTCTAACGGATCCCTTCATTTGTATTTGCCTACAAATGGTCTCTTTTTTTTTCATTCTTTACAATCGAAATTGGCCGTTTCTGCAAAATTCAGGAGTTGTCAAGAGCCAACCCTCCCCAAAAAAGAAAGAATTGTAACATTTATGTGTGCAATTGACATAAGTTAGGTTTTTATTTTTTATTCATCAAAGGAAAAGCATATGTTAGTTTTGATATTTTTTTTTTTTTACCTGGGCATGTTACACAGTAAGCGCTTTGAATTCCATCTTTCAAAAATGGGGAATCTCAGCTATTGAATCATGGAACATTAGTGGAGAACCATGTAGCGGAGCAGCCATTGATGACTCCACTTATATTCACTTCCGCTATGCAGAATTCAACCCAGCGATCAAATGCTCTTGCGACTACAATAACAGAACTACCTGTCACATTAAAAAACTGTACGTGTCCATTAATTCTTGCGTCTCTCTCCATCCATCTATATAGATAGATAGCTTTGTATTATTTGTTTTTACAGGAAAGTAGATGGCTTGGACATCAAGGGGGTTATTCCAGAAGAACTGTCCAAGCTGGCTTATCTCACATACTTGTATGATTTTCTCATCTCTATCTTACGAAGCTTTATCTTTTTTGTTTATTCTTGGCTGTGGCTTTTACAAGTGGATGGATCATGAGTTATGACATAAGTGCTACTATTTTCTTTTGGTCTAATATGATGGCGGTTTAGTAAATTTGTTATTATACTAATCTTGCTCACATGGTCGTTTATTACATTCCTACTGAAATTTACTATTTTACCTTTATACTGTTTTGTTCATATTAAAACAATGAAATACTGTAAAAATGGTATCAAAACAGCGGGAATAGAGCAAAGAAACCCCTCGAAATGTATTGAATGAATGAAGACATTTATAGATACATTTGTGCTTCTCTAAGTAACTCATCTGTAATTTAATACATGTGGCAATTAACACACATGGTTAAGTAGCCAGTTGTCCAATTCTATAATGTTTTATTGGTATTCTAACACCCTCCCCAACTTGAAAATGAGGTTTTGAAATTGTGACACATCGAGAGCTTTGGTTACGATATCTGCTGGCTGGGTTGTTACTATTGATGTGGAAGGTTTTGATCTCGTTGTTTTGAATATGTTCCTGAGCAAAATGACAATCAATGTCAATATGCTTTCTGTGTCTGTGGAAAACTGGATTAGTAGTGATATGGAGGGGAGATTGACTATCACAGTGCAATTCCATGGGTGTTGTATTGTGAATTGTTAAATCCACAAAGACCCATTTAATCCAAATGAATTCTGAAGTTGTGACTGTCATAGCTCAATACTCGGCTTCTGTAGAGGATCGTAACACATCTGTGCTGCTTTTTAGTTTTCCATGAGATTGAAGACTGTCCAAGCATCGTGATATAACCTATTGTGGAGCGCCAGGTAAGTGGACAACTAGCCCAGTCGGAATCACAAAAGGCCCGAACTACAAAATTATTAGTGGATTGGGTAAAGATGCTCTGATGAGGAGTGGACTTGAGATATCTAACCACCCATAAGGCAACCTAAAGGTGCTCTTCACGTGGATCTTGCATGAATTGGCCGAGTTGGCGTACTGCAAGGCTAAGGTCAAGCCTCGTACCCGGCATGTACGAGGGTGTGAGTGAATTTTTGAAACCACATTCGTGAAGCTTGTTTAAGAACATACATGGACTTTTGGAGTTTGCAAACATGATGGTCGCCATTTTTAGCAAACCCAAGAGCTGTGTGTAATTAGATAACAATGAGGTAGTGGATACCATATGGTTAGAGGCACCACTATCTAGGATCCATCCAATAGAAATAGTGGAATGCTTAGTAGAAAGATTCACAGTTGTAACAGATTCATGGTTTTCCTTGCTCAAAAGCGCTATCAACTGGTTATATTGATGGATGGTCAGACCAATGATAGGCAATTCATTGTTAGTGTTTGCATTGGCACATGAACTCTGTTGAGGAGTTTTACCAGATTTTCCATGTCGATTTGGTTTACCCTTCTCCCAACCGACAGGGTAACCTACAAGCTTGTAACATCACTCCCTTGTGTGGCCAAGTTTTCTGCAATGCTCGCAAAAATACCTTGAACGATTGTGATTCTCAAAGTCACAAGGCATAGATTTAGATATTGTATTTAGCGCAACAGCTTCAGGATTGGGCGGCCCTCGAAGAGAAATTAATAGTTGATGGCATTCTTCTTGGATTATAAGAGAATATGCCTTGTTTAAGCTCGGTAATGGATCAAATCCCATGATGTTTGGTCGAATGGTGTTAAAAGATTCATTTAAACCCATCAATAACCAATGGAGTTTTTCTTTTTCATGATCAATAATGAAATGTTTCAAAGCTCCACAAGTGCACTCCTGAAGATCGATGAGACTTCCAAGTTCATCCCATTAGGGGTGGCAACGAGCTGAGCTTTTCACTAACTGCTTGAGCTCGGCTATGCTCGGTTTCAACCGAGCTCAAGCCTAATAGAACTCGACTCATGAGCCGAGCTCGAATATATATATATATATATAATAAAACTATAAAAAATAATATATAATAAATATATTATAATTCTTAATTTTTTAAATATCAAATAAAAATATTTTTTATATATAGTTTTTTATTTTTATAAAATATTTTTCCTCAAGTCGAACTCGAGCTTATGAGTTTTTTACTCGAGCCGAGCTTGAACTCAATATTCTAGCTCAAACCGAGCTCGAGCTCGAGCCTTATACTATTCAGCTCAACTCAGCTTGAATCCACCCCTACATCCCATAGCCTCTTGAGTTTTGTGAAATACCCTGCTACGATTAAGTCTCCTTGTTGTAGCATTGCCAAATCCTATTTTAGCTGATGGAGATGCGGAATGTTGCTCTATGCAAATGTTTCTTCTAGTTCTTTCCAGATCTCTAAAGTCGAATCAATGAAGGCAATGCTCTCATGGAGTTCCTGTCCACAAACCGGTATTTATTCTTTGCTCTTAGTGCATTTCGCATGGCCCATTGCCATGTCAGGTAATTCTCTCTGGTTAAAGGGAATGATACGAGAATGCTCCCTGGGCTATCAGAAGGGTGGAAATAATAAGGAGAGGCTGAATCAGATTCCATGGCTGTCATCATCGTTGTCGCTATTACCGTTACCGGTGTTGACTTCATAGTTGGAAGGATCAACATTGGAAATAGTAGTGGAAGAAATGCTCAATGGTGAAAGAAAACACAGACTGGTCAAGAGCGGAAGGCGGTAGTGAAAGAAATTGCAGGCTTTGATACCATGTAATAATGGTATCAAAACAGTGGGAACAGAGCAAAGAAACCCCTTTGAAATGTATTGAATGAATGAAGACATTCATAGATACATCTGTGCTTCTGTAACTAACTTATCTGTAATTTAAGACGTGTGGCAATTAACACACGTGGTTAAGTAGCCAGCTGTCCAACTCTAGAATGCTCTATTAGTATTCTAACAAATACTAATTAATGTCTTTTTATCTAGCTCACAAAGTCACTAGCATTTCCTTGTATCATTTTCTATATTTACTTTGTTGTCAAAAGCTTTTGCATACCTATGAAGGGTTTCAGGGATGGCCATATATTCGTTTAAGCTAGCTTAAGAAAAGATGCAACTATCATGAACAAATAGCAAATGATGGATGACCGGATCTATTATTCATTCTAACACTTGATACCATTCATCTCTATTGGTATGCTAAAAGGAAGAGGAGAGACCTTAAGCTATTATGAGAAGTAAGAATGGAGACAAGGGAATGTTTTTTAGATTGATGTGGGGATCAGGGAATGTTTATTTTCCTAGGTGTTATTTACCTAGTAAGTGATATCCATCTCCTAGGTGGGTAAATAACTTTCCCACCTAAGGATAAAGTTACCAACACTTGAATGAGACAAAAATGCCCCTTTTGATAATTGATTTTGATGGTTAAAATGGTCATTGCCTTATTTACATGAGAAATAAAAGAACACGGATAAATGCACTTACCCAGGTAAGTGTTTTCCAATAAAAACTTACCCAAATAACTACATTTACCTAGATAAATAATTTACTGAAAAACGAACGGAACCTAAAAGGAAAGTCATTAACTAGTATTAGCACTCTATGAGTGATAATAGAAATATACTCTGAAGTTCACTTTCTGCACAACAGCACATCTCATTTGGTCCAACATCCTATCTAGGATGCCCGTTCTACCATATCATATGTTTTATTCATATCAAATTTGATAGTTACATAGTGCTTTTTCACTTTGCTCATAAAATGAAACACCCCATGAACCACCAAAATGTTATTTGATATATATCAACCGACAATGAAGGCACTCTGTAATAGGGATGAGCATTGTTCCATCAAAACTGAAAATTTCGGCTTTAGTTTTTCTCAAATTGATTATTTCAGGTTTTGGTTATTTCAATTTTACAAAACTTTGGTTTCGTTTTCAGGTTTAGAAATTGGGTTAACTGAATTAATCAAATTTTATTATATATAATATACTATAAAATATCTAATATAATATTAATATATATTAGTTTATATATAATATACAATATGCATGCGTTATAATATATTAATATAATATTAATGAAATTAAATTTTAACTGGAATAACCAAAAACCAAACTGAGAATTTCGATTTTAATTATTTCAAATTTTTATTAGTTTACCTTTTTGTTTTATAAGTTTGAGTTCACATCAATGCTCCACATGCACATCTCAACATGCATTAGGAACATTTTCGGAAGTTATCATTGGAAGTTGATTCCAATACATGATTGGAATTTATTGTGGGGAGCTGATGTGAATCCAAGCATAAATTGAAATAGACCTCAAGCATAAATTGATGTGTGGCTAGTTGGTATGGCTGTTGGCTCATTTTTCTATAAAACCCGTTCCAACACTCTACCAACGTAATCTTACACTACACATTTTAACATTAGACTGGAACCCACCATTGATGAGATTAGGGGTGGAAACAAATCAAGCCTTTCATGAGCTATTTGAGCTCGACCTGTGAAAAGCTCGATTTAACTCGATTTAAATCGAGCTTTGAGCCAAGCTTGAGCCCAATAATATGGACTCATTTGCTAATTGAGCCAAGCTCAAGCCTAGCGAAGCTCGATTTGTGAGGCTTGTGCGCCTAATATATATAATAAATAATGTTTATTATATGTCGTACGTTACATATATATATATAATTTTTTATTTTTATGTATAATAGTAATTAGTTTTTATAATTCTTATTTTTTATATGTATAATAATAAATGTTATATATAATATTTTTATTTTTTTTATATGTATAATATTAAATATTTTTTATTTTTTTGTATATAAAATAAAAAATTATTTTTATATGTATAATTTTTATTTTTTTATAAGAAATTTGGCTCGGCTCGAGCCAAACTGAATTCAAACTTGTGAACTTTTAAGCTGAGCCGAATTCAAGCTCAAGTCTTTTTCTTGAATCGAGTTCCAACCTAATACTGATGAGCTCAGTTCGAATAATTACCATTTGACTTGACTCGACTCGAAGCCACACGTATGAGATGTGTGGG